CGTTTCAAGCGAGCCGTTTCCATTCGACGAACGCCCTCCGTTGTGATATCTTCGGCCGCATTTCGTGCGCCAGTCACTGCCTTATATTAACAGGGAGGATGTTTCACCGCAAGGGTTACAGTCGCAACCCTAGTAATAATAGGGTGTCGTACGTAAGGGTTTCTTACGAAGTAGAGAACCACACGCAGCGCTGCAAAGGCGACAGCGGGGGTTGAAACCATCTGCTTATGGCTGTGCGCAGAAAACAACCTGTTTAGAGAGGTCTGTGTCCCTTCCGGGTCGCTGGGATGGGACCCACACGTTCGCGATGACCGTACTTTGAGTCGACTCGAAACAGAAAACAACCTGTCTAGGTAGAGGTCTGTGTTCCTTCCGGATCGCTGGGACTCACACGCTCGCGATGAGCGTACTACCTCACGCGCCGCGCAATCTTCTTGAAAGCGCCGCGCTTCAGGCACTCACGCCGAGATATCGCCGAGATCGCTGAGACCATCGCCGAAATCGCCGAAATTATCGCCGAGATCCCCGAAATTATCGCCGAGATCGCCGAGGAGTAAAAAATCGGCAGTGCTTGCCGCCCCACATATCCATCACCACGGGCGGCTGCGGCCAATCTCGAAGCCGCGTCAAGCTCAGCTAGTGTCGTGGTAGCTATGGCGCCTGCGGCGGTGCTCGCGGCGAATCGCAGTCGTAGCGTCAAGCTCAGCCGCTTCAATCTTTGTTACGGCGTAGCTATGGCGGCGGCGGCGGCGGCGCGGCCCGCTCTTGAACGAATCTCTTTGCTCTCGCGGGCTCGCCACCCCATGCGGCGCTTTTGTACCTCTGCGCCTACTATTAGTTCCAATGGCCGATTGCTCCTCGCCGCCGTTACTCTTCTGCTTGCCTCAATCGCCGCGCCAGCACGTGAGTCATGCTTTTTCACATGCTCGCCGCGTTTTCCTTGTCAATCAGACCCGTGCCTGTAGAAGCGCGCACTATCGTGAACCCGTGTCAGTACCTCTCTCTTTGACACGGGTCTCTTTGAACGCGTTTCTCCCCTTTTCTACCTTCCGAGTCTCGCCTTCTGCCCTCCTTTCTTCTACCCCTCTAGGGCTCCTTTCCATTTCTCCCAGCGTTCTCTGCCTTTCGTATCCACACACCGTTTCGAATGCCCTCCTCGTGTTTACCCCCCTCTCAACAAGCTGCTTACCCCCCTCGTAGTATTTACCCACCTCGTATTTACCCTTCTCATCGCATAGCTGTGCATGTGCCGAATGATGCGGAGTCGTCTCCTCTCTGCTCTCATGTTATGCCTTCGAATGTGCCCCCTTTGGTCTGCTCTCCCCGCTGCTTTCTCAACTCAATGGCTATCTGCGTTTCGTATCTCCATTTGCTCCTGATTTCTTTATCTAAACAAGTTGTTTGCCCCCTCCCGTATTTTCCCCTCCTCGTGTTTACCCTTCTCATCTTATAGCTGTCGTGATGCCCGCTCCGCCTCTAGCTCTTTTCCCTCCTCCCCCTCCTTCCCCTCCTTCACCTCCTCCCTCTCCTCCCTCGCCTCCTCCTCCTCCCTCGCCTCCCCCTCCTCCCTCACCTCCCCCTCCTCCCTCTCCTCCTCCTCCTCCCTCGCCTCCCCCTCCTCCTTCTCCTCCGCTGCCTCCTTCGCCTCCTCCTCGGGGCCGCTCAACCAGCTGTGCAAGGAAGCAGCGGCGCCTGTGCCCTTGGTTGTGTGACAATGACAAAGACGAGCGTCTTAAAAATAAAGAGAGCCCTAACAAGGAGCGCCCCTGCCTGTTGAGGAAGGTTTGCCCTAACGGCCAGATTTGCATTCCGTTTGAAAGAAGCTGCGAGGGGTACAAGTGCTTTAGGGTTCTGTAGGTGATGAGATTGAAAAATGTATTGTGAATTTTGTTATGCTACAAGGGATACTACCAACCACTTTAGAGCGTTCATGCATATCTGTGATGCATTTGTCAGTATCAGTTTTAACGAAACAGTGTATATCTCGAATTCGTCTCTCAAAGCGGAAATCGAATTCGTCTCTAAAAGCGGAAGTTCTCAGTGCGCAGTCGTGCCTTGCACCTCTGCATTCCCCGCTTTTGCTTCGCCTTGCGGATCCTTCCGAGCGGACGGGACTCCCTCCCGACCGACATGCCTGTCGATTGGTCTGATCTGAACTGAACTTGTGGAGGTTTCAGTTGCTTGAATTTTCGGAAAGGTGTGTGAAGCTGTGGAAAGAGGTAGCGTGGTGTGACATCCACAAAAGCAAATATACGTTCATGATGCTAGTGATGTGGTGCTGAATCGCCTTGGTGCACACTAGTCTGATGCGATGCACCAGGTTTGGGAAGGGCGGAAACTATTCCTTCGTTCAGGGCAAATGAAACAAATTTCTCAAAGTCGTGACTACTGTATTCGGTTCAAGGACAGTTTTGTCGGTTGCGTCAGAGGTTCGTGAAGAGTTCCCGGGTAGCGTTGGCATTTGTAACCCACGGGCACTGCTTGAATGTACAAGGGTGGTCAGTCTGGGAAAAGAAACAACAAAACAGGAAATTAACACAAATATAAATGTCAAACGTAACTGGAGATTGACTAAAGCGCACTCTTCGTTTTCGCTCAAAACTCTACCCAAACGTAAGAAAGTTAATACCAGCCGTTCTGAGAAGCACAGAATCGTATTTTACCGTAATAGCAAGAACTCGTATGAAACGCCTCAAGTTTCTACAAGCCGAGCGTTGGAATATTGGAATCCATTATACCGCAAAGAGGGGGTAGGGGTGCAACCTAATTTTTCTCGGGCAGTCATAGAGGGCGTGTTTTGCTCATGAAGTCAGGCAATGTACCCAGGAAGTCAACCATCCTCCTACCGCAATTCGTAACACTCAACTTGTTCGGGAGCTCCACCCAGATAAAGTCGTTGCACCCAGCAAGGTTGCAAAAAGTCGTTGCTCAAGCCTCGGAAGCGGCTTGTACTTGACGCCCCAGAGTGCGACCTTGAAAACGCCCTGGTTCCCTTGTCTTGGTATTCTTGTGTGTGAAGAAGAGAGGAAGCTAAAGCAGATGGTAGAGACCTAGTTTTTTTAGCAGCTTTGAGCTGTGCTGCTCCCACGCAACCACACGCTGCGAGTCAGACAATTGGATGCTGGCTGTCAAGCATGAACACCGTCCAAAACGACAAGATGGGATTTCGTGCAATCCACGACATCTAGACGGCTTCGTGCAATCCACGACATCTAGACGGTTTCGTGCAATCCACGACATCTAGACGGTTTCGTGCAATCCACGACATCCATCTTGAATATGGTTTGGACCGACATTTTCTTGAATTTGTTTGAACCGACGGTTTTTAGTACGGATTCACGAGTAGTAGTACACCCTCATTCTCGATAGACTGGCATATGTTATACTGACCGAGACGCTTAGTGTGACCTCACCGGACCTAAGAAGCTCCTATCACATGCGTTATAGTGACAATTTGACCCAGGGCGTTTAGTCAAGGTTTTTTACGTTCTGGAACGATACTGTTGGTTTCAAAGCGGTTGGAATGGTTATTCAACGTTAACGGGTTTTTACGGCCTAAGGCGTGTTTCAAACCCTCGTGCGACTTTGCCCGCAACCGAGTTATCTCACCAGCCCGCTACGTCCAAACACTGTAGCCAGTGCTTCCGCCGGTGAGATAGGTGAGAATGAGGGTGTATTCGCGATGCGATGGATACTTGCAGATACGTTATCGTAAGGACAGGTCGGTGGGTGTCTCGTTTTCATTCGCCGGCTGCGGCAAAGTCACCACCTGGCACCATCATGGTGCTGTCCGTGATGCTGCTGCTCCGCTTGAGGCGCGGCAAATGCACCACCTGGCACCATCTGGTGCTTGCCATGGTGCTCCGCAAGGCTTGAGCAGCTCCAGCTGAGGACCGGCCGCGGAAAAATCACCACCTCAGGCTGGCACCATGGTGCTGTCCGTGGGCAGCACCATCATGCAGAGCGGCGCAAAGCCTTGCGGAGGTGATATCCACCATCATGGTGCTGCTCCGCAAGGCTTGCGCCGCTCCGCAAGTCTTTGCGCTGCTCGTAAGGCTTTACGCTGGCTTGCGCTGCCAACATGGTGCACGCTATTTAAACTCCACAGTTGCAAGGGGTTCTACATAGTAGTAGTAATAGCAATCCCGGGTCTAGTAGTAGTAGTACCCCTAGTTTGAGTCAAACTTTGTGCTGCCAGCCAGTGGCTGTGCACTTCAGATCCTCTCCTTTTGTCACCGTGACGCCTGCTTGCCACGCCATTCTACTCGCCGCAAGCGAAGGACTACGAGCGCGTACCCGCGTACCCCACGTCGCGCGATCTGTCGCTTCAGCCTGAAAGATCATCGAGTCACGAGTCACGCCGCGAGATCGCCGAGAGATCGCCGAGAAATCGCCGAGAGATCGACGCTCGCCGAGGTTTCCCCGAGTCGGAGACGAAATGGCTTGTACTACAAAGGACGGAATGCTTCTCGCTGCCGTTAGTCTTCTTCTTGTCTGTATCGCGCCATGTGAGTCACTTTCCCACATATCATCAGTGGTCGGGCGGACCATCTCTTGTGCAAGAGTTGTAAGAGTTTTAGGACTATCGCCTGTTTGATAACGGAATCTATCTTGCACACCTTCTCCTTTTTTTTCCCTCCAACGGTGAGACATCGCGGAAAAGGGAGGTGCGAAAAAAAACTTTAAAATTACTACTCTCACCTTTCTGGCCTCTCCTGTCTAAGCCTCTCTTTTAGTGGTCCCTGTACTATCCCTCATCGTGTGTACCATCTAAACAGGTTGTTTACCCCTCTCGTAGGAACCTCCTCGTATTTACCCTTCTCGTGTAGCTGTGGATGTGACCAATGCGGAATCGCCTCCTGTCTGCTCTCCACGCGCCTTTCCCAACTCAATGGCTATGTGCATTTCGTATCTACATCTGCTTCTGATACCTTCCCGTTCTTTATCTAAACAAGTTGTTTCCCCTCCTCGTACTGTTACCCTCTTTGTGTTTACCCTTCTCATGATCTTATAGCTGCGGTTATCGCCTCTTCTCCTCCCTCCCCTCCCCCTCCTTCCCCTCCTCCCCCTTCTCCCCCTCCTCCGTCCCCTCCCCCTCCTTCCCCTCCTCCCCCTTCTCCCCCTCCTCCTTCTCCTCCCCCTCCTTCCCCTCCTCCCCCTCCTTCCCCTCCTCCCCCTTCTTCCCCCCCTCCCTCTCCTCCCCCTCCTCCCTCACCACCCCCTCCTCCCTCTCCTCCCCCTCCTCCCTCTCCTCCCCCTCCTTCCCCTCCTCCCCCTCCTTCCCCTCCTCCCCCTTCTTCCCCCCCTCCCTCTCCCCCCCCCTCCTCCCTCACCACCCCCTCCTCCCTCTCCTCCCCCTCCTTCCCCTCCTCCTCCTTCTCCCCCTCCTTCCCCTCCTCCCCCTTCTCCCCCTCCTCCCTCTCCTCCCCCTCCTCCCTCTCCTCCCCCTTCTCCCCCTCCTCCTCCTGGCGCCACATCCCCTCCTGCGCCCCCTGGTTGCGTCGTCAAGAAGCGGAGCATATGCCCGTGGGTGTGTGACAACAACAAGAAGGAGCATCCCAACAAGAAGGGGAAGGAGCGTCCATGCGTGTTGAGGAAGGTTTGCCCCAACGGCCAGATTTGCATTCCCTTTGTGCGAAGCTGCCAGGGGTACAAGTGCTTCAAGGTTTCTTCTGTAGGCAACAAGGGGTGATGTATTTGCCTTTAAATTGTTGTAGTAGTACCTGGTTGTATATTGTTCTACCAGCTGCGCAATCAAGCAGCGGTGCCTCTGCGTGTTGAAGGTTTGCCCCAACGGCCATATTTGCATTCCATTTGTAAGAAGCTGCGAGGGGTACATGTGCTTTAAGATATTTTCTGTAGGCGATAGAGGTTGAATGTTTACAGTGAACTTAGTTTCGTTACGAGGGATACTTAAAGCCCGAGTTCCACATGGCATTTTTCAAATTCAAGATTCTTGAATATGAACTCGCCAAAAACCAGGTTACCACCCGAAGTGCAGCTTTCCGTCCCCTCACGGATGAGATGCTTCACAACTCTGATGCATGATTGGCCAGCGACAAAAAAAAGGATTCCGCGTGAAGTGTCAACGGGAGTTGGACCACTGTTCACATTCAGTAAACTTGAAAACCAAGTTGTACTTATGTGCAGCCATATTGAGTCTAGGACACGTAGTGCGCTCCGCTGTTCAGGACCACAAGAGCCCGTAGTATCGCTTTTAGACAATGGCAGCGAGATGTCTATATCCTTGCAGCAGTCTGTTGTTTTTTCGCTCCAACAAAAATAAAATTAGCCAGCCTAAAGAAAAACGTCATGTCACGCCCCAATTCTACAGGGACGATGGCGCTCGCAAGTACGTTCGAAGCGCACGAATCAAGCGCACGGATCGGGCGCTCGACTCACATGTACGTTCCACGCACCCGCTTCCGCCCGTCGCACTCCCTTCCGCACGCCTGCACTCCCTTCCGCACGTCGCACTCTCTTACGCCCATCAAACTCCCTCCCGCCGTCGCCCTACTGCCCGTCGCTCTCCCTAGCGCACGTCGCACTCACTTCCGCCGACGCTCCCTTCCGCCCGTCACCTTCCCTTCCGCCCGTCGCACTCACTTCCGCCGTCGCCATCCCTTCCGCCCGTCGCCCGTCACCTTCCCTTCCGCCCGTCGCCCTCCCTTCCGCCCGTCGCCCTCCCTTCCGCCGTCGCCATAGATTCCGCCCGTCGCTCGTCGCCATGCCTTCCGCCCGTCGCCCTCCCTTACGCCCGTCGCCCTCCCTTCCGCCGTCGCCATCCCTTCCGCCCGTCACCCTCCCTTCGTCTCGTGGAAAGGGAAGGGGACATGGGGAAGTAGGGAAGGGGACATGGGGAAGTAGGGAAGGGGACACGGGGAAGCAGGGAAGGGGACATGGGGAAGTAGGGAAAGGGACATGGGGAAGCAGGGAAGGGGTCATGGGGAAGTAGGGAAAGGGACACGGGGAAGCAGGGAAGGGGATGGTGTGACTATAGATGCTTTAAAGCATGTTACTGCGACAGTAGGAGCTCAGTCGCGACTTGCAGTTTCCTTTATTGCAGTTTCCGTTATGCCCGTTACTGCACATGTATCGGTCTGAGTTTTGTCAGTGCCGAATCAGTGGACCGGAAACTCCGCAGTGAAACACGCGGGGTATTGCAACGAGAGCTGTTTGTGCTGCGGAATCTCAAGACACGTCGTGTCAATGAAGACGCTTGACCTGGTGACTATAGTAATCTATTTTCCCGTTGCCACCCTCTTACCGATTCTAATTGCGTCACGCTCGTAGTGCAGCTCGTCGCCCTATAAATCTGAGCTCCTCTCTTAGTCTTCTCCCTGGCGCTCGCCGTTACCTCCCTCCTACCGCAATCGCATGCGTATTGTCGATTTGGTCCTGCGCACTATCGTCGTAGTTGGAGGCGTTGGGGTATTCAATCGCGTTCGTAAGTTCCACTGAATGTTTTCCTCACAGATACTCCGTCTTCCCCTATGTTTTCTTTGAGATCGTAGAGAGAGAGTAGGCCTTTCCGCTCGACACCTTGCTGCCATGTGAGTACGCTCCCACTGATGCTTCTCTCTCAAACTCAACAACCGGCATCCTTCGTGCTTTCCGTACGTGCCACGTTCAGGCTAAACGTTGCATTAGTCTGGGAATTACGTTGACTTCTCCTGCGCCGCGGTCTCACGTGCACGCTTAGCTTTATTGTTGTATCACCTGCCGAAGGACAAGCATTGCTGGTAGTCGAGGGACCTACCAGTTCCTCCTGAGCACCATCAGGCACGTAGCATTACGTGGCTGGAGCTATCGTGTCGCATTTGCGGCTGGTTCCCTGTTTCTACCTACCACATGTGATCGCGCCAATCCATTTACACCGAGCGCAACACCCTGTGTTTTCGTTTTTCTGCTCACGTCGCGCCCTGCGATTCGATTGCACAGATGCATTTCTAGAGGGCTGATTGGCTGCGATGCCCTAAACCCAAGTCGCGTGCGTCTCTGGCGTTGTAGCCCTGCATCGCTAGGGGATTCCCCTTCTCGAGAGTGGGCCTCTCACAATTTCGCCCTTCAGTGTGGCATTTTCAGGGGCTCGAGGCTTCTCTTCCCATATTCTTGGAGAAGCCTGTCGCACAGTTGAGTGACGAATTCAAGGTTTGCTCGTTAGCTGGTTTGGCTCTCGCTACGTTTTTTGGCTTTCGCCAACCATGTTAAAGCCATTATTCGATTTTCCAAAAAACCATGCTGACCTCGGGCTTTAATTGGCGAGTTTTATGTAGTACACGATGTTCATATGTGATGTATTTCTTACATCGCTATCAGCCTTAGGAAACAGTGTACACACACACATATATATATATATATATATATATCGAATAGGTTTTTCCGAACACGAGAATCGTCCGTACCACTTCTTTGCCTACCTGCATCCCCCGTAACCCCCGCCTTTGCTTCCCCTTTGGGAGCTACTACCGAAGCGACCCGAAGCGAACCGAACAAAACTAGGGTGCCCCTTTTTCGCGAATCCCTCAGGTTGACTTGGGTGGGTTGTACACCCTCATTCTCGATAGACTAGCATATGTTATACTGACCGAGACGCTTAGTGTGACCGCACCGGACCCAAGAAGGTCCTATCACATGCGTTATAGTGACAATTTGACCCAGGGCGTTTAGTCAAGGTTTTTTAAGTTCTGGAACGGTACTGTTGTTTTCAAAGCGGTTGGAATGGTTATTCAAGGCGTGTTTCAAACCCTCGTGCGACTTTGCCCGCAACCGAGTTATCTCACCAGCCCGCTACGTCCAAACACTGTAGCCAGTGCTTCCGCCGGTGAGATAGGTGAGAAAGAGGGTGTACCTTCTTCTGAATCGTTAGCCGACATCGCCGCAAGCTTATTGGCTCTCCACACCCTCTGGCAGCAGATTCTTCCCGACCGGAGCAAACCCGATCGGCTCTGTAAGATAGCACCAGCCTGGTAAAGACGAGTAGTCTTCATGGCGAAGCTCAGTGTGTGTCATGTCAAGCCGGCCGAAACTCAACCATCCCCTTTCGAACGGGATCTAATCGCCGCTGCCAAGCGCAGAAACCGCACCAGGTTGACGTCGGGAGGTGACATACGCGATATAAGCCGCCTCAGAATCTCACGTCCCGGCCGTCGCCGCTCCCAAAGATGAGGGGAACGCCGCGGCGTGCAGTAGTATCCGCGGCAACAGATTCAGCAAACGAGGGCGTGTCTTCAGTTGTGGCCTCGTCGTCCTCTCTTATACCCTCGCCTCGCCTCCCCTCCGCTCGTCTACCCTCGGATTGTCTCCCCTCGCCTCGTCTCTCCTCGCCTCGTCGTGCCTCGGCGGCGGCGCCGCCTCTCGTCGGAATCCACGTGACGCTTCTCGCTGTTTGCGTTCTGCTCCTCGTGCTCGCCCCCCTAGAAGGTTCGTGCTCGCCCCTTAGGAGGTTCGTTCTCGCCTACCTGGAAGGTTCGTTGCTCGGTCCCTTAGGAGGTTCGTGCTCGGCCCCCTAGGAGGTTCGTTGCTCATCTGAGGCGCCTCAGATGATTCTTCTCGCGGTTTTTGAGGCGTTTGCGTTCTGCTCCTCGTGCTCGCTCGGCCCCCTAGGATGTTCGTGCGGCTTTGACGGCGGCTTTCACGGAGGCTTTCACGGCGGCTTTCACGGCGGCCTTCCCGCCATGATGACATGCTTCCCGCCACGCAGCGCCTCTCCCACCCACATGCTCTCTTCGCGGCATCATCATGCTGTGACCGCCGGATGATGAGACGGCCCTTTGCCTGCTGATACCACCTGTCTCTCTCGATCCTCTACTCCTCCTTACTCCTCCCTCCCACGTGTTCTGTTCGCGGCATCGTCTGCCGAATGCTGTTCTGTGCTGCCACGCAGTGGCTCTCCCACGTGTCCTTGCTGTTCTGGTCCTTGCTTGCTGATACCACCTGTCTCGGGCGCCCTGTGCTTCTCCTTACTCCGCCCTGCCTACTCTCCAAGAGATGGGCGTCCCATCTCTCACCCTAGTACGAGGGGACTGTTGAGTCGACGCAAAAGTCACCTCACCCTGTACTGTGATTTCCCTCCTGCCTCCTCTCCCATCTCTCACTCTACGAGGGGTTGTATTCGGCAATTCTAATCGACATCACATTTGTTCACACCCCCCTCACATTACCCTCCCCATGTTTACCCACTTCCTTTTTACCCCCTTCAGCTTTACCCTCTTCCCGTAAATCCTCGTTATGTTTGTCCTTTACAGGTTTACCCTCTTCCTGTTTACCCCTGTTGTAATTTACCCTTTTCTTGTTTTCCCTGTTATTCTCCTATTAAATAGCAGCAAGTTGCCACTTACGTTCTTTCTGTTTCTGTTAACGACTTCCTGTTTACCCTTTCCTGTTTTCCCTGTACGTGTTTACCCTCTTCCTATTCCCTCTGAGCAGTGATTGCACCTGTTCCGGGGCCTTCTACCCCACCTCCTCCTCCCTCCGGGTGCGCAGTCAAGAAGCGCCGCATGTGCCCATGGGTTTGTAATAATAACGGAAATGATAAACCGTGCTTGTTGAGGAAGGTCTGTCCCTCGAATCATATCTGCGTTCCGTTTGTGCGAAGCTGCAAGGGGTACAAATGCGTTAGGATCTTTCCAGGAGGCAATTGATGGTGTATGTACTGCCTCTTGCTTTTGATTGTAAGTACGGTAGGTTGATACCACTGGCCTAAGCATGATTATTCCTTTCTAAAAAGAGCCGTAGTGAGTGTGTTGCAATTTGCTCTAGGTTCCCTTCCCTCCCCTGCTATGCACTGGGAGACTTTTTTCAGTATTCATTCTGTGTCGGGAGAGCTTCTTCGTCGGGTCCCGCAGCGGGCGCGACTGGGGGTGCTTGATGCATTGTGCTGCATTCTCAAGAGACTGAAGGCTTCCCCTGGGGATGAGGCGGCGACGCTGATGTTCCTGGCCTTCCCGCGCCTCATTTTGGGAGTCCCCGCGAAGGAGGGTCTTGGACGAAGGGCAGCCATAGTAGGGCGTCTCGGAAAGTTCTGGGCAGGGGAATGGCAACAGCTGTTCGAGGCTGCCTCTGCCGCGTTGACTCCGGCGGCGCGACCTCTTGCCTTCTCCTTACCTGAGCGAGATGCTGATGCCATCCGTTTGGCCCGATGTCGCACGAGGTGCCAAGTGGGGGAATAGAGTCGAGGACTAGCATGCCTTACTGCGGGCGACTTGGCGCAGCCCTCTCAACTAACAGTAGACCGGCTGACAGCAAAGCACCCGGCCAGTGAGGTGCCAGTTCCTGAGTGGGTGGAGCACTTTCGCATAGACGTTTCTCATCTTCCCCACCTAACTGAAGACATCCTCAAGCATGTTATTCATTCCGCAGCGCGAGCCTCAGCACCAGGCCCCTCAGGATGGATGACAGAGCACCTCCGAGACACATTTCTCTCAGAGCCTTCCTATCTCCCGCATCTGTTGGAGGTGTTCAGGCAGTGGATTTCGGGATGCGTTTCTGAGCGGGTGCGGCCCTGGCTTGCAGCCTCGAACTTGGTTGGGTTATCCAAGCCGAACGGGGACGTCCGCCCAGTGGCTATCGGAGAGGTGCTCCCTCGGATTCTGGCGCGTGCGTTATGCGTTCTTCTTCGTCCCGACATGGAGACCTACTTCGCTCCTTGTAACCAACTAGGGGTGGGGACTAAGTCGGGGGTGGAGATTCTGGCGCATGCTTTCCGCTCGGCTGTAGCGGTTCATCCGACGTGGTGCGCGCTGCAGATCGATGTAGCGAATGCCTTCAACTCGTTCCATCGGCACGTGATGTTCGACGGCCTCCGCGATTCTCCTTTTGCTGGCCTTATCCCTTTCTTACGCGTCTTTTATGGGGTGCCCAGCGGTCTGTACCTTCGTACAGGCCCCTTTGTCGAGATGCTGGCGTCCGAGCGGGGTTCGCGACAGGGGGATCCATTTGGTCCC